CCCCAACCCCCCCAAAGTAAAAGAATCCAATTCCAATATCTAGTCCCCCACTCTCTCTAAAATCTAGAATCTCATATCCTCCAAACTAACCTTTTCTATATTTGAAAGTTAAACTTTCTTTTTTACTATTTAACTCATACTCACTGGAAATATTTAATGCAATATCAGTAACATGTTATACAATCATAATTGCCTTAACTTCTAATTATTTTATGTAATATCATAGATTCTTTTATGCTCTCTGTGTAATAAAGTTAGTAAACACTTTCTTTATATAGCGTATAAATATTACACTCTTTTATAAAAAGTAGTTACAATAAACTCTTTATTTTGTTGTGATTCTGTTCATTTTTACTTGTCTATTATACTAAACATATACTTTCACTTTTATTTATTCATTTTAGCAAATCAAGAAAAAGATAAAAAAAATTTTCCGTTTTACCCTTATCATTAACCGTTCATTCCCCAAATTATTTCTCATGACTTTTTGAAATGGTATTATTTATTAGGGGTAAATTTATAAAATACATGCTCCATTTATTTTTTTCTAAAAGGAGTATAAAATCAAAAGTGGACAATTAAAAGTAAAAAAAATGAGTATTGTAGTTAAAGTTGGTCGTCTCCGCTTTTGCGTACTCCATTAATTGATACTACGTAAGTACGAATAGATATGCATGACAACAATACCACATATATACCACTATGGATCTCGTACTCCCACTACTTCCTTCACTCACTTCTCATCCTTCATTCCAATCCTCCCCTCCCCCTTCCCCACCCCACCCCACCCACACCCCAAGTTGCATAACCCTAGGGGCAGATGTAGTGTTGATTACGAACTCATCTGTATATTAAGAAATTCAAAATATTTATAAATATTAATTTGATAGTGAACTTCGTTAATACTATAATATTAATTTAAAATTTGTAGAAATTCATAAACTTTAGTATTTTTATAGAAATTCGTAAATTTTAAATTCTGGATCCGCACAACTTTGCTCCAATACCGACCAGACCAATTCCATCCTATCCATCTCTTCACTCTAATATGTGTTGTTTTGTACCCTTGCTTTCATTCATCTCCCTAAAATCATACCCATATTTATCATCCCTCCTTACTAGGTTTTTCTTCCCTTTACACTTTTTTCTTTCCTGTCTTTGTGAACTTTATCTTTCAGCTTTTTCTATAGTTTAATACTAACAAACACTACATATGTTCATATTTCTTGATTTGGACACTTCAATTCTAACTCATCTTCTTCTTCTTTAGCTTCTTTCTTGATTCTATTTTTCCTTGAACCCTTGATCTACCTCGTCGATCCGCGATTCCCGGCCAAAAACCTTAAAAGGACAAAACGAAAAAATGTCTCTAGACATAACATATTCGCCTTCCTCGGAACGTGTTTGCTATGTCCACTGCAACTTCTGCAACACCATGCTCGCGGTACACTTGTCATTTTTCTTTCATTTCTTGAAATATTTTGTTCCTCTCCTCAATTTTACAACCTTGTAAAAATTTACCATGCATGCTGGCCAAATATTTAGATCAAATCATGAGGAAAAAAACTCCATTTTCTAAGCTCATGTAGATAATGATAATAATATATAGTTCAGATCCTTTTCTGGAATTTATTTTTATGTGAAGGCAAACCTTGTGAGAATTTACAAAATTATATATATGGTGAAATGAAGTCTTTTTTTGAGTGCAAGGGCTAGAAAAGTGTTATAGGGTTGGAGAGAATTTGCTTGAAAGTGGAGTATATAATTGCATATTTTATGTTATTCTTCTACTAATTGAAACCAAGTTTTCCTTGTTTCCTTTTCTGGGGGTCTTCTCTTCAGTTGGAAAGTTTAAACTAGGAAGTTAATGGAATGGAATATGAACTGAGATCCAGTTTATTCCAAAACCTGAGTATGAATTACTGATTATTCACTTTACTTTGACTATAAAGCAAGTTTTTCTATTTTCAGCAGATGCATATATAGGACTTGATCCCTATAACAATAAGTAGGGCTCCAACTAAATACTTCACTATTTAACAAGTTAGTTACTCGTACAAAGATATAATTGGATTTGCTTACTAATTGGTTAACGTTTCCTTTTAATTCTTCAATTTATGCTCCTCTTTTAATTTCCCTTAGGTTCGTACTTCTGGGCTGATCATAAATAATTGTGTACTCTAATCTTCGATGCCATTAAATTCGTTTCCTGAATATAAAACAGTAAAGATCATGTGGGGTGGGGTTTTTTCCTTCAGTCTATCGTACTATTCATTTGTCCATTGGATAATACTCAACTCAAAACATATCTTTTTCTTCTCATTAATCTACTTTAGTTTCTGTGAAAAACAGATTGATAGAAAGAGTTCTCTTATTATTCTTCTTCCTATCTTAGGCTAGTTAGATAAACCCTTTCGATTTGGGCATATACAATGAGTAGTTATTCCGCTTGAAAAGAACTAATGTATGCATTACGGTATATAAACTGTCTACGTCGCGCTCCTTGGGTGAGGTTCTTTCGTTGATTCTATGTGAACGAGGAATGTTTTGTGCACCGGAGTTACTCTCGCCTTCTTACATTTGAAAAGAAATATGAAGAGGGTAGTGTGTCATCTTTTTATTTTTTTAAAAAAAGGAAGTTTAATTGCCTCTTAGTCATTATGGAATTCATGATAGTTTCTGTTCTCGTCATGTCATTGTCTTTGTTCAGTACTCTCTCTTTTCTCACTTTTCTGGTGACTGAGCAAAGGTCAGAAAAAGTCAAGAGCACCGAAAGGAAAAGGAAAGAAAAGGAAGAGAGTCCAAGAGGTTCCTTTAAAAGAAGATCCTTATAGTTATAACCCATTTAAGGAATGGGAGTTGTAGAGTCTAATATCTTAGCCTTTTAGTAACAGTTGTAGTACTAATTTTAGTAGTAGGAGAGAGATGGATATGTGAGCCTTTGTGTTTTTGCACTGTGAAAGCTACACTAACAAAATACACCATTTTATTGTAAACTCCATTCTTTGAAGTCTTAGCTATTAGAAAAATAAACTAGATTCATCTCAAACATATGGATTTTCTAGTTCATGCATGTGTTTGGGAAAAGGGAGTTTAATAGAAATTAATATGACATTAGACTAGGTATATATATATGTTAAGAAAATACGTAAAAGTCTTCAGTATTAATATGTATTGTTGTCAGGTTAGCGTTCCATGCAACAGCATGATGACAATAGTAACAGTAAGGTGTGGACACTGTGCAAATTTGCTTTCTGTTAATATTGGATCTTTGCTTCAGTCTCTCCCCCTTCAAGATCTACAGGTATATATACATATATACTACTAGTAGTAGTTAGTCCATAATCTTTTTAGTGTTTGTGTTCTCTTTCATTTGGTTCTTTCCTTGGATGGTCAAACAAGAATGTGGAAATAGTGCTTTTTACTTATATTCTACTCCCTCTGTCTTATTTTGTGATGTATTTTTGACTTTGCACTAAATTTAAGATAAGAAGAAATTATTTTGAAACTTATAGTTAACAAATCCGGGATGGTTAATCTAGGATGAAACAACCAAATGAAAATAGTGTCTTCCAACACCAAATACATGTATTATATTTTTAATACAATAAACCATACATCTATTTAAAAAAGTATATTTGCTAAATAATTTCATTATTATTCAATTTCCGTATTGTAATCATAATCACAGTATATCGTGTTTTCAAACCAAACAACCACTAAAGAGTTTAACTTGTATACACTGATCGTGTGAAGAATTGTTACAATATTAGGTCACATTTACCTATTAAAATAGGTAACCTACCTTATTTTTAAGATTATAAATTCTGATTTTACAAGGAGTTACCTGGATTATGACCTGTTTTACACCATTAGTGCATATAGACAAGGGAAGCAACATTCTACAACAAGTCAAATTAAGTAGTATAAAGGTATTATAGTCAGTGTATAAATGAAATCCATTTAGTTTGAATATGGTTTAGTCCCTAGTTTCACATCTTCTGTTTTCTTCCTTAACGAGGCCAGCCTTTGATACTCTACTTGATTATAAATACATGCAAATTACATAAACTAGTAAATCATCAGTACTTTACTGTCATTAATTAGTCTATCTTTCTTGAATTAATCTTTTGTTTTTTGGGGTAAGGGAGGGAAGGGAAGTGTCATATTAATTAATGCTCATATATATATATATGGCTCTGATCTCATTTACTTGAAAGAAGCAGCAGAGACAACAGTCGTCAATTATTGAAGATGCTAGTAAAGCTTGTGGGTCATCCTCTTCTACCAATTATCACAGATTTTCTGCCATTGCTACTACTCCTGAAGATGATCAACCTAGAACCATGCCTATACGCCGTAAGCTCTCTTTCTCTCTCTCAATTTCTTTTGATCTTATGTTATATATATATTTCCTGTGTTTGCCTTGCCGCGCCAATGTAACCCACCAACATATTTACCTACCAGCATAGTCAGATCCAGGATTTAATATTTATGGGTTCCTGCAACAATCTCGAATAAATTTTCAATAGTAACTGGGTTCACATTCAAACATTTATAGATATTTAGTAAATTTTTCGAACACATTTACGCTGTTTGAACAAAAACTATTGGGTTCACGTGAATTCGTAGTTCGCAAGCCCTTGCCTACCGGACATTATTAAATCTCACTGTATTTTGATGATAAGATTCCTAACTAAGTGAGACTTGATTAGAATGCATGTCTTGTCCTACCGTTGGAATTGATATGACGAAAGTCACAGAGACAGACACCTAGCTTAGTAGTAGTACTCTTTGTTTTGTAATATGAACGGAATACCCCCATTCTGATATTTTTCTTAAAGGATGCTACACTTATCTCTCACTAGTTATCTAAAGGAATCCGAGAGAGCTTAATTAAAGGGTTTTGGATTATTCCATCCATAACCTTAAAGTTTCGGATTCTTTCACAGTTGTCAATATAAAAAAAAGAGTTTCTAGGTGTGTATTGTTATCAAAACTCTCCTTCCGTCCCAATTTATTTGATGCATTTCGGATTTTGAGTGTCACATGAGTTTTTCTTTAATTTGATCACGATTTTCTTTTGTATGCCTTCTAAAATATTTTAAATTATTAAGTATTATGACTTGTAGTAGTACTTTTGAGGTAGCTTTCAAATATATATATTTTATTTCAAAATAGTTAAAGATTTTATATCTGAATTCATAGTGAAATTTGCTTGAAATCTGAAATACATAAAATAAATTGGGATCAGATGGAGTAGAAGGTTCATACTTCATAGTAGTAGTAATTTAATGTAATATGTAGGAGTACAGTTTTTATTTTATTTAATAGGAGTTCGTGGAAATAAATCTGAATATGAGTATGAGTTTTAAACCTACCCTTTCTTTGTCTTACAAAATTATGCGCAAGTTTACCTTCACGATAGGGGACCAAAATCAATTTAACTTCAAAGAAGAGCAGTTTATACATCTTAAGAATTCTGTACAAATAGAAAGGCCACTTGTCATGTTGTGAATTGGGATGATCAGTACCATGACAAATTTACTAAAGGGGAGTGCCTGAAGTGAACTATCTGCTTTAATTTACTTAGGATCTGAAGTTGATTGTGACATTACTCTTCTATCCAACTTATCATTAATAAGTATATTGAAACATTGGTTAAGTACTTCTGTATTATTTGCTGCACCCCTTTTTCTCTTAGGTCTTTTCTTGGAATAAATAGGTTTAGAGCTCAACATTTCTTGGAATCTTGGAGTATATCGTAGTTTTACCTAAACCATACCTTTTTTAATTTTAATTTTATAAAGGACCATTATATTGGTGGAGGTTAGGCCATGACTCCTTGGCCCTTGCTGTTTATAGCTTAACATTAATAACAATAATTACGCTTCAATGTCAAACATGCTATATATATATATATATATATATATATATATATATAAAATCAATATTTAGGTGCAAAGTGTTTTATTAGTTAGACAAATCAATGCTATAAAATCTTGGGATACTTCTCTTGCTCTTCTTTCTAGCTTATCTGTTACCTTTGTGAAGATATGGTTTAGTTGAGGAAAATAGTAGAACCCTGTACAAGTTTCAGCTAACTATTCAAGTTTTTAATAAAAAATACTCCAGCTTGAAAAAGGCAAATTTAAAAAAAAAAATTAACCTTACTATGTGGATTTTTAGGTTTTCCACAAGGACAAACAGAAGAGGCACTAAATAGAAAACAGTGACTAAAGCTTTATCTATCTCAAGATTTTACCTTTTGGAATTTACACTATTTTGCAGTGGGCACATTTCCCTCACATCCACTTTGGACTAAAGCTGGAGGGCAACAAACAAGCCAAATTGGATCATGCAGTTGCAGGAGAGGGTCCTCAGAAATCTATTGGTCTCTATTAAGATCTAAATTATGATGACAAATAGTAGTATACTTGGAAATAAAGAAGAATTTTATATCTACAAATATATAGGTGAGATAATCTCTCCAAACTAATAATCTTTCATTTTGTTTTCTTTTTTCAGAATGATCCCTTCTAGGGCTTGGATTCTTTGTTTATTTTTTCGTTGCTTTAATTTTGTGTTTTGAACAACATATATATGTTGTAATATGTAACTAGCTTTTATGATTATTACAATGATACACGCTTTATGTTTATAACTCTTTTCAATTGTTTGTGTGAGCACACTTAATATTTTCTTTTTAATCTTGACTTTTAGTTTCAATTAGTTGAACAACGATTAATTGTGCTGCAGTGAGAGTATCTCTCATTGATTTGTTCAGGAGAATAAAAGGTAACGCACGTTAGTGTTAACTGGGGATCTATCAAAAAATAATGATAGAAAATCCCACTACTGTTAGAATGTAACCGAGTCTAATCGGGTATTTGGGGTTCATACGTGTAGTAGATATAATTACTACATAAATTGTACCTACGATAATGTTTAAATTTTTAGATATGAAATGGTCACGTGATTTAATGTGGTTTTACATCAAATATAAATTATGGTTTCAAGTCCTATATATATAATACTTTTTTCTATGTAGTTTTGAAATATATAAATTTTGTTTTTAAAAATGTCAAAATTAATAACTTTCACCCTATATATTACATAAAGTGAAATAAAGGGAATACTAAAATATATTCGAAGGTATCAAAAAATATACGTTGTTGGAAAGATACCAAAGCACGTTCACCAAGTTAGCACCAAGTCACTATACCCCTTTCATTTTGAAGGGTGGTACTTATTTCTTAACCAATTTGGCTTTCCTGAAATAAACATTACAACCAGTAAATTGAGGTACATATATAGAGCATACGAGTGACCTTTTTAATTTTTATTTTTAATCATCTGTTATACGAAATCCACATATTTGACTAATTCGAATAACGACGATTAGAGTTACCAAGGAAATTAAAGTAAAATGTTTTCTGTCGAAAGGTGGGGGTTGAAACGGAGTTGATAGTAACAGTTGAGGTGTTCATCAGTCACAATCAGAGAGGAGGACAGAAAATTAACAAATCAAGAAATGGGGACCAATAAAACACCAAATTTGATAGCACTGATAAACAAATGAAAACCTCTATTGTTAAATCACGTTTCTTCAGCACAAACACAAACACAAACCAAACGTACTACAGCAGCTTTAAACGAAAGATATTATTGTTTGGTTTTATGGCAGCAATAGTCATGCACGCTACTACTTCCAAATATGGTATGAATGAAAGAGAAAACTCAGTTAAAATTTTTGAAGATATGTGATTGCGTGTCACAACAAATTGCTTATAAAACACATTTGTGGATGTGTATCTCTCTGTGTATTTTGTTTCTCTAGGGATCTAAGAGTAATTTTTTGTGGAGGTTTTCATTATTATGTCATGCGTATGAGATATTGCGAATAGTCAGATAAATATCTTTTTTGTATGACAGACAGTGACCTTGCGCGTAGCTCGACCCATTCCATAGATACCCGTCACCTCTTACTAGCAACAGATATTAGGTAATTAACTTTATCCATCAAGGTTTGAACAAATAAAAATAAATCACCTAGTATTTTTGTTTTCGCTAAAATTTGAACAAGAAACCTCATGGTTCTCACTCATTTCATTGACCACTAAACATGTCCTTGAGTGTTAATCAAATAAATATTTATAATTTATTTTAAACTATAAATTTAAATTTTTTAATTTTTTATTAAACATCGTGTCTAGTCAAAATATACTAATATATAAAATGGGACGAAGGGAGTAATATTCTATAATTTATTATGTTAGTCCTGATTCTTCCACTTTAAAATAATTCAGCAATAGAATTTTGAGCCAAAGAAGACTGTACCCCGTATAAAATAAAAATGTGTCTTAATGCAAAAACCATGCTCCACTAACAACAGTAAAAATATGAAATAGAAATTCTAAACTTTTGGATGTGACATTCATGGCCAAGATCTATCGTGATCAAATAACCCTAGCCATATTCAACAAATAATGAAATGATACCAATAAACCTTGTCGTGGAATAGATAATATTTCTTTGCTTCGCCTTTAATTTAAGAATTCAAGTTCGAATTCTAAGAGTAATAAAAATTCAATAGAAAATATTTTTCTCTTTTAATATAGGAACTTATGTCGTATGAAACTGAATTAATCTGGTCTCATGCAAAAACAAATCTAAGTAAAAATAAAGTGGTAATTAGTATTTGACCGTCGGGGGTTTAGGGAGATATAGCACCCTTCCTAGAAGGTGGTTATATTCCTAAGTGCTCTCTAGGTATATTGAAAAGTTAGTTGTTAATGGTAATTTCACAGTTATTATTATAAAAAATAAAAAAAAATGAAGTGACCACGTACTATAGAGTGTCAATGACTTCTAACGAATGGACACAATCATGAACCGGCCTCAACTAACTTTTACAGTATTTCTTTATCAAGGGTTAAACTGTCAAAAGTTGCACTCCCTTTTAACCAAGAATTTAAGGACCCATTCGGCCATAGATTTTGTCAAAAAAAAATCAAATTTTTTTTGGCAAATACATCTTTGTTTATAAATTTTATCTATATTTTGGCAAATTCCAAAAATTCAAAACTCAAATCCCAAAACCAGCTCCCAAAATATTACAATTATATTTTTAAAAAATTGCTCCAAACTTTTGTATTTTATAAAAGAGCCCACCATTAATATTTTGTAATAATGATGCTTCGTCTTCTCGGCCATCTGATAGTGTATTATGTAGTTCATTATAAAAATGATAATTTTGTACCAAATTTATTTATGTTCAGGACTATGGTTTGTGATAATGATAATGAATATTATTGATGAAGGTACTATTGGGTATTTGTGATAGTTTTTAGAATTTGTGGTATAAGTCATGTTTCATGTTTTTTTTCAAAAAACAAAGTCAAATATGTTTTGAAAACTGATGTCCAAAACACATTTTCATCTTCAAACCAAACCTCACCTAAAGAACTTGTATGCGTGGAAATTTTAATTTTTATGGTTTAGTATTATTTAGATGTAGACTTTTACCTAAAAAAATCAAGTAGATAGAAATAATCATCTATTTAATTTATGTGAAGCAACAACATAAAAAATATTATACTACCAACGTAAAAAGGCAAGTTTAGTGCATAAAGTATCTCGCATTCACCCTGGGTCTAGGGAAGGGCCGTACCCGGAGGAGTGTGATGTAAACAATCTATCTAATGCTATTTTCATGGCTCGAACTCGTGACCTATAGAACATATGAAAATAATTTTACTGTTGTTTCAAGGCTCCTTCTAACTACCGAGGTATATTATAAAAGGATTATTTTCATATTACTTCCCTCATTTGCTGCACACTAGTTATATGTAGTTCTTTTTTAGATAAAAAATATTTTACAATATCTGTATATATAATAGAAAATAAGGCAAGTTATCGGGCTTCTACCTGTTAAATACACTTTTGTAAATTTCTTAAATTATTTGTT